GTCCATCTAGTCAAAGCTATGGTTTTTCCAGTAGTCATGTATGGATGTGAGAGTTGGATTATAAAGAAAGCTGAGCACCGAAGAATTGATGCTTTTGAACTGTGGTGTTGGAGAAGACTCTTGAGAGTCCCTTGGACAGCAAGGAGATCCAACCAGTCCATCCTAAAGGAAAACAGTCCTGAATATCCATTGGAAGGACTGATGCTGAAGCTGAACTCCAATACTTTGGCCACTTGATGCAAAGAACTGACTCATTTGAAAAGATCCTGATGCTAGGAAAGATTGAAGGCAGGAGGAGAAGGGGACAACAGAGGATGAGACGGTTGGATGGCATCACCGACTTGATGGACATGAGTTTGAGTAAGCTCTGGGAGTTGGTGATGGACAGGGAAGCCTGGCGTGCTACAGTCCATGGGGTTGCAGAGCCATACATGACTGAGCGACTGAGCTGAACTAAATACCAATATATGTAGAAAAAGCATTTAACAAAATCCAACACCCACTCATGACAAAAAGTCTCAATAAACTAGGAATAGAGGGAAACTTCTTCAATCGGATGAAAATTATCTGTTAAAAATAAACAAACAAAAAACATTACACTAAATGTTTCTAATGGTGAGAAACTGAAAGCTTTCCCACTAAGATCAGACACAAGACAAAAGTGTCCCCTCTCACCACTTCTTCTCAACATTGTACTGAATGTCCTTGCTAATACAATAAGAAAAGAAAAGGGAGTAAAGGGAATATAGATTGGAAAGAAAGACAAAAACCGTCTTTGTTACAGATGACATGATTATCTAGAAGATCTGAAGAGATCAACCAAAAACTCCTGGAATGAGTGATTACAGCAGGGTTGCAGGAGACAAAATTAATATGAGTTCATCACTTTCCTACATACTATACAACCAGTAAGTACAATTTGAATTTAAAAACACAATACCATTTACATTAGCATGCCTAAAGTGAAATTTTTAGGTAAAACCTAACAAAATATATATAGGATCTATATGAGAAAAAATACAAAATTCTAATGAATAAAAGCAAAGAACTAAGTACATAAAAAGAGAGACAGTCCATGTTCATGGGTAGGAAGACAATATTGTCAGGATATCAGTTCTTCCCAATCTGAATTACAGACTCAATGCAAACCTAATCAAATCCCAGAAATTTATTTTATGGATGTCAAAAACTGATTCTAAAGTTTATATGGAGAGGCAAAAGATCAGAATAGCCAACACAATATTGAAGAAGAACAAAATTGGAGGACTAATGCAACTCAACTTCAAGACTTATTATAAAACTATAGTAATCAAAACAGTGTGGAATCAGCAAAAAAAAAAAGACAAATAGACAAATGGAACAAAGTAGGGAGTCCCAGAATCAGTTCAGTTCAGTTCAGTCGCTCAGTCATGTCTGACTCTTTGTGACCCATGAATCACAGCACACCAGGCTTACCTGTCCATCACCAACTCCCAGAGTTTACTCAAACTCATGTCCATTGAGTCGGTGATGCCAACCAGCCATCTCATCCTCTGTCGTCCCCTTCTCTTCCTGCCCCCAATCCCTCCCAGCATCAGGGTCTTTTCCAATGAGTCAACTCTTTGCATGAGGTGGCCAAAGTATTGGAGTTTCAGCTTCAGCATCAGTCCNTCCAGCTTGTGCTTTTTCCAGCCCAGCATTTCTCATGATGTACTCTGCATGTAAGTTAAATGAGCAGGGTGACAATATACAGCCTTGACGTACTCCTTTTCCTATTTGGAACCAGTCTGTTGTTCCACGTCCAGTTCTAACTGTTGCTTCCTGACCTGCATATAGGTTTCTCAAGAGGCATTTCAGGTGGTCTGGTATTCCCATCTCTTTCAGAATGTTCCACAGTTTATTGTGATCCACACAGTCTAAGGCTTTGGCATAGTCAATAAAGCAGAAATAGATGTTTTTCTGGAACTCTCTTGCTTTTTCAATGATAAACATAGTCAACTAATCTTTGAGAATGCAGCAATACAATGAAGCAAAGAAAGCCTTTTCAACAACTGGACTTAAACTTGTAAAAAAAAAAAGTGAATCTAGACATAGACTTTACAGTTGTTACCAAAAATTTGGTCTCTCTGTACACCAGTGCTGAATCAAATACTGAAGACAGAGTTTTGGGTGAAGCTTTATTACTTTGCCAGACAAAGGGATAGCTTTATTACTTTGCCAGACAAAGGGAGACACACTGGGCTTCTGTCTCCAAAAACTGTGTATCTCTACCCCAGAGGAATTGATGAAGGGTTTTATAACAGTGGTTCAAAGGTGGGGTCTCTGATAAGATTAGGGTGTGAGCAGGGCTTGTAGTCCCTTAATCTCGGGTGGTCTGGATCTCAATCTTCATGAGCTTCTCTGGTCCCTTTAATCTTGTCTCAAGTGGTTTCTTGGCTGCTTCTCCCTTGATTAACAACTGTTGGAATCCACCCTTTGGAACTCAGGGCAGGTCATGAAAGCTGGAGTCTTACCTACAAGAAATGGGGGAGAGAAAGGGCTCTGTGCCTGGGAGCCCCGCAGGGCCCTACTCAGATTCATACCCTTCACAAAAAATTAACTCAAAAGGATCACAGACCTAAATTTTAAATACAAAACTCTAAAAGTCTTAGACAATAATATAGGAGAAAACCTAAATGACCTTGGGTATGGTGGTGCATTTTTGGATATAACATCATAGGCATGATCCACAAAAGAAATAATTGCAAAAGATTTCAAGAGAATGAGAAGACTGGGAGAAAATATTTACATAAGACATTTCCAATAAAGGATTTCTACCCAAAACGTACAAAGAACTCTTAAAACTCAACAATAAGAAAACAACTCAATTATAAAATGAGCCTAAGAGCTTAACAGACACTTCACCAAAGAAGAGATACAGATGAAAAATAAACATATGAAGACATTCCACATCATATATTATTAGGGGAATGCAAAAGTAAACAACAATGATATACTACTACATACACGTTAGAATGGCCAAAATTACACTAAAACTGGTGAGTTTGTGGGGCAACAGGAACTGTCACAAATTGCTGGTGGAAATGCCAAATGTGAAAGCCACTGCAGGAGACAGACGGTTTCTTACAAAACTAAACATACTTTTACTATATAATCCAGCAATCACACTCCTTTGTATTTACCTGCATAACAACTTGCACATAACTGTTTAGCAGCTTTATTCATAATTGCCAAAACCTGGAAGCAGCCAAAATGTTGTTCAGTAGGTAACTGGATAAACTGCAGTACATCCAGACAATGGAATTCTTTCCAGGGCTAAAAGAAGTAAGCGACTGAGTCATAAAAAGAAATGGAGGAAAATTAAATACATGTTACTAAGTGAAAGAAGCCAATCTGAAAAGGCTATATACTGCATGACTCCAACTCTATATGACATTTTGGAAAAGGCAAAACTATGGAAATAGTAAAAAGATCAGGGATTAAAGGAAGGGAGGGATGAATAGGCAGAGCACAGAGGATTTTAGGGCAGTGAAACTACTCTGTATGATATTATAATGGTGGATACATTTGTCCAAACCCATAGAATATGCAACACCAAGAATGAACCCTAATGGAAACTGGGGATGTTGGGTGATAATGTAACAAATGTACCACTTGGGGAATGGGGAAGGTTATGTGTATGTGGGAGCAGGGAGTTTACAGAAAATCTCTGTATATGCCCCTCAATTTTGCTGTCAACCTAAACTGCTCAAAAAGTAAAGGTTTAAAGAAAAATGAACAAATTCAAATATGTTATATATATATATATATATATATATAACTTGCATACATATTTTTCAAAAGATAAAATGCAGATTGGGAAAAATATTTGTAACATATTAAATGTGATTAATATCATTCAAATCAAAGTACATTTATACATCAATAAAAAAGGAACTCAGTAGAAAAATCAGTAATAGAATAGAATGCAATCTCACAAGAAGTATAAATGGAAAATAAATATGATACATGAAAAACTAGTTCCATGAATAATAAGAAAAATTACTTCCCAAGTTGTCTGCCCACACCTACTGTCCAACTGCTTAACTGAAATTTAAGAGGGTAACAAGCCAGCAAGGACCCCAGAGGAGGAGATGGAAGCTTGAGGCCATTAGAAGATGTTTAAAGAAATGGTCTCCAAAGATATTAGGATTTATGAAGGTGAGAAGAAGCAGCCAGCAGCAGCTTCAGGAGTAAGATATCAGAGAGGGCAGGGGCTAACAAGATGAGCTCTTAAAAAAAAAAAAAAAGATAAGCCCTTGTATGTTAGCTAATATTTCTGGCTTCATTTTGTTGATTCTACTCTTTTTGTTCTTTCTTTTTCACTCCTGGTTTGGTTTTCATAGGCCACTTTATGGTATCTTATTAATCTTATAAACTGCCTTCCATATTTGCAACATTTTATTATGGTCAATCAAATGAATTTAGAATGTAGAATAAAATGAATGGATAATTTACTCATCAAATGGTGAAATGAATGAGTGGTTGAATAAAAAAATGCAACCAAAGAGAAATTTCCTCAAACTGATTTGGTGGAATGGAAATGCCAGAGATTCTGAGAAAGAACCACTCTAGCATTACTGGACAATAAGCAAGACCTCAGATCTCGAGAGAAAAGGATGCCTGAGGGTTAAGAGATATACCAGATTGCCGAAAGGAGTACTGGCCCTGTGTCAGCAGAACTCATAGCCCTGATTAAAATATATATTGTGTATATAAGTGTAGAAAAAGTATAATTTATAGTTAGCATAGGGCTTCCCAGGTGGTACAAGTGGTAAAGAATCTCCCTGCCAATGCAGGAGACTCAGCATACATGGGTTCAATCCCGGGATTAGAAAGATCCCCCAGAGTAGGAAAATGGCAACCCACTCTGGTAGTCTTGCCTGGGAAATCCCATGGACAGAGGAACATGGCAGGCTACAGTCCATGGGGCTGCAGAGAGTCAGACAAGACTGAGTGACTAAGCACACATGCACACATAGTCAGGAAAAGTTAACTGCTATAGTGAATAAGCTCCCAAATATATAATGGCTCAAACTCAATAGAATTTTATTTCTTACTCATGAAACAGGACTGAACAAGTGAGCAGGCTGGCCAAACAGTCATTCAGGGAGTCCAAGCTGATGAAGGTGCTGCGGCATTCAACAGAGGCTTCCAAGGTTGTTCTCAAATCAACTCACTCTAACCAGCCAGAAAGGGAAGAAGCATGGAACTTGTGGGAGGTTTAAAAGAAGCACCCTGGAAACATCAATTTCAGATAAAACTCAGGCACATGACCACACCTAATTACAAAGGAGGCAGGGAAACATAATCTAGCTCTGTGCCCAGAATGAAGAGGAGAATATGGATTTGGGTAAGTCCCTAGTATTTCCTGTCACAGATCATTAGCAAGCCTAAAAAGTCAGATGTGAATATGGAACCTCAATAAATCCTGAGCTCCACATTGTGGTTCCCCTTCTCAGGAGACTGGGAACATGTGACAAACAGCTCTTCAAGAGTTACTTTGGTAATAAATTCCAGATGAGAATTCTACCTCCTGAAATCCTACTACTGGGGGCTTTTCCAGGGAACTTCTCCCAGCCCAGTTGCTGTTGTTGTTCACTAAATTGAGTCTGACTCTTTGCAACCCCCTGGCCTGTAGCATGTCAGCCTTCCCTGTCTTCATTATCTTTCAGAGTTTGCTCAAATTCATGTCCCATCGGGGCTTCCCGGGTGGCACTAACGGTAAAGAATCCACCTGTCAATGCAGGAGATGTAAGAGACAAAGGTTTGATACCAGGGCTGGGAAGATCCCCTGGAGAAGGGCACAGCAACCTACTCCAGTTTTCCTGCCTGAAGAATCCATGGACAGAGGAGCCTGGCAGGCTGTGGTCCATAGGGTTGCACAGACTCAGAAATGACTGAAGTGACCTATCAGGCAAGCACGCATGTCCATTGAGTTGGTGATGCCACCCAACCACCTCAATCTCTGTTACCCACTTCTCTTCCTGCCCTCAGCCCAGTATAGAAACACAAGGAAAGCCCATCCACAGAGTGATGAAAGTGAAAGAGGAGAGTGAAAAAGCTGCCTTAAAACTCAACGTTCAAAAAACTAAGATCATGGCATCTGGTCCCATCACTTCATGGCAAATAGATGGGTAAACAATGGAAATGGTGACAGATTTTATTTTGGGGGGCTCCAAAATCACTGCAGATGGTGGCTGCAGCCATGAAATTAAAAGATGCTTGCTCCTTGGAAGAGAAGCTATGACCAACTTAGATAGCATGTTAAAAAGCAGAGACATTACTTTGTCAACAAAAGTCCATCTAGTCAAAGCTATGGTTTTTCCAGTAGTCATGTATGGATGTGAGAGTTGGATTATAAAGAAAGCTGAGTGCCGAAGAATTGATGCTTTTGAACTGTGGTGTTGGAGAAGACTCTTGAGAGTCCCTTGGACAGCAAGGAGATCCAACCAGTCCATCCTAAAGGAAATCAGTCCTGAATATTCATTGGAAGGACTGATGTTGAAGCTGAAACTCCAATACTTTGGCCACCTGATGTGAAGAACTGACTCATTTGAAAAGACCCTGGATTCTGGGAAAGATTGAAGACAAAAGGAGAAGGGGACGACAGAGGATGAGATGGTTGGATGGCATCACTGACTCGACAGACATGAGTTTGAGTAAGCTCCGGGAGTTGGTGATGGACAGGGAAGCCTGCTGTGCTGCAGACCATGGGGTTGCAAAGAGGCAGACATGACTGAGTGACTGAATTGAACTGAAAAGTGTATTTTAAGAGAGTCACCATGGTATGAAGGAGAAATCAGAGCTGGAAGATTGACTATAGTTGTCAATAGGGGAGGTTATTCTGTGCAGCCTTGAGGATTCATGGAGAGAATGTCCTGCTGATGTCAATCTTGTTAAACCACTGATCAACCTTTTGCAGAAGTACATTTTTAAAAAAATATTATGTCTATTGTTCACTTCTGCCTTGCTGTGGTAAGGCTATTTCCACGCTGAGTGGGAGAAATAAAAGAACAGCTGCACCACATCTCTTAACCATGAACTCTAGTAGGCACCTATTTCGCTAAAAAGAAGAAATCAATTTTTTGTCTTACAAGAGAGATAAAGCCCATTTAAAATGACATATTAGGAAAGCCTATTTAAATGTAAATTGAACTACAGCATTTATATGTGTCAATTAAAACCCCTCGAAGAATTTTCCTGAAATATTAACATTTACTTAGGTGAAATTTTGTTTTAAAGAAAGAGATTCACAATTTAAAACTGTCCTGAATTTCATGGCACTTTTTTAAAAAAATAAATCATTGTTAGTTCTGGTAATATTAGACTTAAGGAACCGATTTAGTTTCAGCATGAAAAACATAACTCTTTGGCCCATCCAAGAAATGTCATACTGAGGATTTTGCCCCTGGTGGGCACCCTGTCAGAAAAGCCAAGGTGAGCAGCGACTGTTGACACCCACAACACAACCTAAGAATAATGAAAAGCTAATATTCACTGAGTATCTACTGCCGGTGCCAGGCATTTTCTTCTTCAGATTATGTCAGTTGGTCTCCACAGTCACGCAGAGAGAAAAGTGAATAAATGTATCCGTCCTGTTTTAACAGATGAGGAAACCAAGTATCAGAGAAGTAGCAGCTGATACTCAGTTTCACAACTAATAAGTGGTAAATCCAGAATTCAAAGTCGCGTGTGTTTTAACAAAGCCCATAGTTCTGGTTGAATATTCTTCTAAGCTGGTTGAATATTCATTGGAATGACTGATGCTGAAGTTGAAGCTCCAATACTTTGACCACCTGATGCAAAGATTCAATTCAGTTCAGTTCAGTCACTCAGTTGTGTCCAACTCTTTGCGACCCCGTGAATTGCACCACGCCAGGCCTCCCTGTCCATCACCAACTCCCAGAGTCCACTCAAACTAGTGTCCATCGAGTCAGTGATGCCACCCAGCCAGCTTATCCTCTGTCATCCCTTTCTCCTCCTGCCCCCAATCCCTCCCAGCATCAGGGTCTGTTCCAATGAGTCAACTCTTCACATGAGGTGACCAAAATACTGGATTTTCAGCTTTGGCATCATCCTTCCAATGAACACCCAGGACTGATCTCCTTTAGGATCTCCTTTAGGACTGGCTGGATCTCCTTGCTGTCCAAGGGACTTTCAAGAGTCTTCTCCAACACCACAGTTCAAAAGCATCAGTTCTTCTGCACTCAGCTTTCTTCACAGTCCAACTCTCACATCCATCCATGACCACTGGTAAAACCATAGCCTTGACC